GCCTTTGGCGTAGCTGTCTCAGGGACATTGGAGATGATCTAGTTCAATCCCTCTCCTTTTACATATGAGGTGGTGACTTTGTCCACAGGCCCGAAGCTTATCTACAAAGCAGGTGACTTAGCACCCAATCCAGAGCTTGTCTTCTGAATCCCATCTGGACAGACACTCCTGGCTTAGTCTAACCTCTGTCACTGTCAGAATTAGACTAGAGAAGATCAAAGAGCCATTCTCAGTGTGTCAAGTGGGCCACCTGCCTCCCCCAGGGCCAGGAGCACTTCCAATCCTGCCATAGTGACCATGTTGCCAAGTACACTATTATGTGACAGCTTGATATTAACATGCTATTATATGCCTGGCATTGTGCTGGAAGTGAGGTAGGAAGTGAAGGAGCTGGAGATGGGACAGGGGAAATATAGAAGTTTAAGACATGGTCTGTGGCCCTGGTGGGATTTCCAAGCAAAACCAAACCATTGGGAAATAGTAGGAGGCACCTTATCACTGTGTGTTGATTTAGGTGCTGTCAAGTGCTTTCACCACAGTCCTTTAGGACTGCAGGTGATGCTGATGTGATACTGAGACCTTTATCTTTTTCAGGGATTTGAGAGAATAAAGCAAAAGTATGCTGAGCTGAAGGACCGGTTGGGTCGGAGTCCCATGCTGGGTGAGCAGGGCAGCCGGGTCATGAGCGTCAAGACAGAGGCAGAGGAGCTTTTTGGGGAGACCATGGAGATGATGGACAAGATGAAAGGTGAGGGAATGGGCCAGGGACTTGGACTGCTGGGCATCCCCGAAGGCTGGTCCCATCCTGGGGCATCTGAGTCCTCCTCTTCTCGGAGCTAGCAGCGCTAAGGGAGTGAGGTCAGTTGGGATTTCCTGAGCACCTAGAAAGCAGGATGGAACTGTGGGGAATGCAGAGATGTTCTCACGACTTGGCCTGCCCTCGAGAAGCTTGCAATCCAGATGGGGCCATTTTTCTTCCTGCCTGCAAGAGGCATGGCATTATATTTAACAAAATAAGAGCTCTAGGGGTTCAGAGGATAAATAATTTCAGAGAGAAATGTTCAGTGAAGGCCATGTTCATCCTGGAAGGATGTGTAGGCGTGGGGGAGGCTGTGAGCAAGAGCAGCGGCATCAAGACTTGGGTGGCGAGAAGGAACAAGGCGCGTCCTGAAGATAGGGACAGGACTCACTCGACAGAGAGCAGGGTTGATGAGGACCAGGGGACAGAGAAGTAGCATGCGGTCAATGTGGCTGGCCTCCAGTGCTCGGATGGGGAGGGTGGACTTAGCCCTGGAGGCCGTGGGGAACATGCAAGCATTTTGAATATGCCAGAGACATAATGAAAGTAGCTTTTGAAAGCGTTCTGAGGTTTCCTCTGAAAGGGAAGTCGGAATTTCCAGGAACCAGAGTCAATCTCTAAGATGTGATAATAGGGTCACTGGGCTGGTGTGTCCAGGCAATGCCACAGAGCTTCTATGAATTTCCACAAAAGTGTTTGGCAAGGATCTCTTTGGGAAGCATGTTGTCCACTGTAGAGAAGGTTGGGCTGGCTGGTGATGAGATGCAAGCAAGGGGCCGCAGCTGATGGGCGAGGCGAGAGGAGAGGACCTTGAGGAAGGAGCCAGGCGGAGTCAGAGCTTATGTGCGAAGATAAAGAACTTGTGCGTCAGATCTGTGAACGACAGACAGCCAATAGGATAGACAACCGAACCGGTATCCTAAGGCAATATAGCAAAAGTCTGAAGGGATGGGCTGAAACTAACAGGATGAAATTAAATAGGGAAAAAAATTACAAGGGCACTTCAAAAAGTTTGTGAAAAAATAGAATTAAAAGATAATATGATTTTTCCCATGAACTTTCTGAAATACTTGTGTACCTCCCACTCTGGCCTTGTTTGGCCCCAAACCCACAAGTACAGCTCAGATGAGGCCTGGCTTCCTAGTGACTAGTTTTACCAAAAATGCTTTATCACTCGTAAGTGATACTTACGAGTTGTTGTTACTCACCTGAAAAAGAACCAGAGTTCTGAGTAACTGAAAGCTTGTTATAAGCCAGCAATGTCTTGCCACCGCCTAGAGAACTAACAAATACAAAGCAGTCAGAGTGTGGGGAGGAGAGCTCAGGGGATATTCAAGCTATTTAGCAACAGGTGTGGCACGTGCCCACCAACCAGAAAAGGCTCAGCTTGTAGCACTGGAACAGGCATCGACCTGCTTGCAGGAAGTTACCTTTAATTGCAGCATAATGGGGAGGACCATGCATGGGGGGCGTCTGGGGGTGGGGGCCGGAATGAACATGGGGAACAGAACAGCCACTATTTAACAGCCACTACGGATGGATCTCAATATTTTGTCACTTGTAGGTCCATGTGGGTGCCCACTGGCTGAACGTCAGCCCAGTAATACTCTGGTACACTCTGCTGATAGGATCTCACCTGGGGGTGGTTTTCTCATGTCGGCTGCTGTATGTTCAGAAGGGATATTGACAGCCCTGCAGACATCAGGGGGAGAGCGACCAGGGTGGGAAGAGAGGGAGGGACCCAGCAGTTACAGCAGATGAGGAATGGATGAAAGACCTAGAGATAAGTAATCTGGAGAAAACAAAGCCTCAGAAATGTGCAGGATTGCCATGTGGGAATAGAGCAAATGTTCCTATAACCCCAGGAGACAGGCCTGGGACAGTTGGGTGGAAGCAAGAAGCAGTCAGATTTTGGTTTTATGAAAAGATGACTTTTTAAACAACCAGAGTGGCCTAAAGCTGGGGCCCTGTGAGGCAGTACATGATCTCTCCCTATTTCTGGAAAAGTCCAGGCTGAGGCTGGGTGCCAGGATGACTTTTTAAACAACCAGAGTGGCCTAAAGCTGGGGCCTTGTGAGGCAGTACATGATCTCTCCCTATTTCTGGAAAAGTCCAGGCTGAGGCTGGGTGCCAGCTCTCATAAATGTGGTAGGGGGACTCCTGCCTAGAAGGACAGGGGCACAGGCAAGGCTAGGTCACTTTGGAGTTCTTTGAATCCTCCATGCACAATCCGGTGGTGGAGTGTAGAATGGACCAGAAGAGGAGGGCTAGGTTCATCTGGAGTGGCATTCTGGGGAGGAAAGGTGAGGCTAGGTCACTTTGGAGTTCTTTGAATCCTCCATGCACAATCCGGTGGTGGAGCGTAGAATGGACCAGAAGAGGAGGGCTAGGTTCATCTGGAGTGGCATTCTGGGGAGGAAAGGTGGGGAGGAATTCTGGTCACCCAGCCCGCCTTTTTGCCAAGGTGCCCACTTGAGGGTTGTTGGTGGGATGGCAGCTGTCTGGGTCCAGCAGCACTGGGCTGCTAATCTTTATGCCAGCGGCCCCCCTCATCAGCTTGGGACAGCTGAGACAGCCTAGAGCAGAGGAGGGGGGCAGGGGCAAGGGGATAATTGGGAATGGGAGCCTCCAGGATCTGGCCCTTGCCAGGTTGCTCTAAGAGTGGGATAGGGGAGGGCAAGGCATGAGGCTGGAGAGAGGCCAGACTCCCCCAGAGGTTATTCTGCCTGCATGTGCTGCCTCCAGGGAGGGAGAGGGGAAGGAGGGTTGGGAGCTTTTGGGCATCTCATCAGCATCTCCTCCTCTGCCTGCTGTTCCATCCGCTCAGACATGGAGTCGGAGCTGCTGCGCGGGAGTCAGGCCATCTTGCTGCGCTCGGCGGACCTGACGGGGCTGGAGAAGCGTGTGGAGCAGATCCGTGACCACATCAACGCCCGCGTGCTCTACTACGCCACCTGCAAGTGATGCTCCAGCTCCCAGCCCCTGCCCCACCCATCTGCCTCCTTTGCTTTTGGGGGGCAGACTGGGCTGAAATGCTTGCCAGCTCCAGGAGACTTCGGTGCAGCCTAAAGCACAGCCTGGACCACCCTTGGTGCGCAGCTGTTAAGACACCCTGGGCTGCAGCTGAGCTTGAGCTGATGGGACGCCTACATTAGAGGGAGGGATGGTAGAGGTGGGCATGTCATCGTGGCTCTCGAGGGAGATGGGCTGGCCAGCGTCCCTGCCCTCCATCTCCCTTCGTCCCTTGTTATGGCTTAAATACAAAAACTTAATAAAAAATAATGTGCAAGTGAAAAGCCCAATAAAAATCTTTGGAAAGAAGCCTGGAGGCTTAAAGAGAGATAACGGTCTGTCTCCCCATCGTCAGGCTTTGTCACTTGTTTCTGCCTTCCATTTGGAGTTCCTGGGTGCTCCTTAAGCCTGGTTGTCCTACTCTGCTCAGTCCATCTTGCTCGTCAACCTCGCTTAGGGAGACAGGGTCCCTCTGCCCCCCGACCTGCCAGGTTCCATCCTTGAGAGACCAGAGGAGAAGTTTTCACCTTTAAACAGAGATCCAGCTCCTCGTTTACAGATGAGGAAACAGAAATCCAGAGAAGGAAAGTAACGTGTCCAAATTCACACAACTCCCAGAAGCAGGACTAGGACTAGAATCTATGTCTCTTGGGGATCGCAAGGAGAGGTTGTAAATGGATGTGTGTGTGTGTCTGTGTGAGCGAGTGTGTGTGCGTGTGTGCATGTGAAATATAAAACGGTGTGAGCATTTGCATGCTGACCATGGCCCGGGCACTGTGCTGGCATTCTTCTACATTAACTTCTTGGTTGTTATTAGCCACTTTAATTATTTGCTGAGCACTGTGCTGGACGCACCCTCTGCATTATCTCATGATGTTGGAGGTGCTGTTATTCCCATTGGGTGAGTCAGGAAACTGAGGCACAAAAGGCTAAGTAACTCACCCAAGGTCACAGATGTGGCAGGTCAGGGCAGAGCAGGCCTACAAACTCACGGTCATCTAGTACAGCCGTTAAGAGAGTGCATGCTGGGGCCAGGCTGCCTGGGCTCCAACAGAACCTGTCCCAAGGCTGGTGGGAATCGCGTCCCTCGGGTCCCTAGGGGCCGGTGTGCTCCCTAGTGCTTCCCACTCCACACAGGCTCAGAAGTCCCTGAGGTGCTTCCGACTTTGAAAGAACCAAATGAAGCCTCATAGAGAAAAATATGTCCATTTTATTAAGCACAACACCGAGCATGAAGCCGGAGGGGATGGGGGCAAGAAAACTGGGGGAGGACGACGTGCCTGTCTTCTGTGGAGAGAAAGGGGAACAGAGGCAGGATTCAAATTCCCGGCTGAAATTAAAACAGCCGACATCCAGTGTTTACTGACTCGGGCGTGTGTGTGGAGGGCACGTGGCCGGGATGAGAATTCCTTACTAGCCATGGATTTCTTTCCTTGGAGGGTGTGGCACTGCTTTTAGCTTGGGACAGGGAGGGAGGGTCAGACATGTGCCAGGGTAGGCTGGCTGGGTCTCAGCGTGGCTGGGGCTAATTCTGGAGCTCAGGATCGGGACTCTGAGGGCGCCCAGGCAGACCCTGGGAGCTGCCGGTCACTCATGCACACGGGCAGGCAGCTCCATGCACGAGCCCATTCTGGCCGTGAGGATGGAGGCCCGAGAACAGCAGTGACAGTGCAGAGAGTGGGAGTCTGGGCAGATGCTCCATATGGCTTTGCTTGGAGAAGGTGGCACAGCCTGGCCAGCCCATGAAGCTTTTCACAACAGACAACACAGACTCAGGCGAGAGCTATGCATGGACACTGCACAGAGCCACGGCACGCAGGGTGTGGGGCACAGAGCAGGCAGGTCAGGGAGACCTGGAAGCCAGTGGAGGCCGCTCCCCCTGCCCACAGCTTCCACGAGGCCTCCACGCCCTGGGGCTCCCCACAGGCCTCCTGTGAGGCTCTGCCCCCGTGGCACAAGCTGGTGCCTCTGGCCAGAAACTGCTCCTGCCAAGCCCTGATACCCTTCCTCCCCTTCCTCCTCCTGCCGGGAAGACACCAGGTTTGGAAGGCAGAGAAGAGTTGAACTTCTCTCCTGCAAAGAAAAGGGTCGGAGGTGAGGGTGGGGCTGCCACATCTGGCCCCCTCAGATCCCAGCATTTAGAGTCTGGGATGGGACTGTCCTCTGGGACAGAAGCTTGCCCCAAGACCTGGCCCTCCCACCTCTGGTCCCCTCACCTGAAAAGTACAGTGACACAGCTCAGCCTCCAGGGATCACATAATGAGACAGACTCCAGTCTGTCCTGCCCGGCAGTGGGAGCTGCTGCCGGCTTTGACTGGCACCATGACCTCTGATTTGAAATTCCTAGAAAGGAAGTGGAGAGACAGCTTTGAAGTATTTGGGGAAGGAAGAAGAGCCAGCGGGGGCTGGGGGCGGCGGGTAAGTTCTCTGTGCCTGTGGCAGCTGCTCGGCTCTCCCTTCATGGGGTTCAGAAAGTACCAGCTCCTGCAGAAAAGGCAAACAAGACAACCAGGCCCCTCACCCCCTACCCCCCAACAGAGAGGCCCTGGGAACTCAGGGAATCCAACGCTCACCACTCACGTATACCCAGTTTTCTGTGACCTTTTGTTATCTCTGTTGCTTTACTAAACTTTTAAAGTGCCTCTGTGAGGCAGACTGAGCGGGCAAATACAAATCAACCCATTTTACAGATGAGCAGACTAGGAACAGAGATAGTCACTGCCTTGTCAATGGCCTCACGGCTAGTGAGCGGTAGGGACAGGGCTGCAAGCGTTTCCCCTGACCCCTGCTCTGGGGCTCTTCCCACCCTAGAAGGCTGCCCACGAGCGGGAGAGCCATTCTGTCAGTTTCTTTCAGTCCCGTTGCCCGAGTTCTTTCAGACCAGGCTGAGCAGCGTAGGGCTCTGTCTCTGGCTGAAAGTACGTACTGTTTTCTGTTGCTCTTCTTGAGGAGAGTGGGCTCGGAGCAGTAGGACGACTTCCCTTTGTTCCCAATGCTCAGGCAGCTGGAGCAGCAGCCACAGGGCCCGGTGGCCAGGGGCCCTTGGTGCATGGGCACCAGGCTGCTGCTGATGCGCAGGGAGCCATTGACCAGGCAGTTGAGGGACCTGCCAATGGGGGCAGCGGGCCGGATGCTGTGTAGGCAGGGCAGCCGGGGCAGTGCAGGGAGTGCCACAGTCTGGTCCAGGGCGGGGGCCTCGGTGATGGCAATCTCAGGGGAGCGGGGTCTGGAGGCTTCTGAGGCTTGAGTGACAGGCAGCCTGTTCTCCAGCCCCGGGCGTGCGGCCGGGCTGTGCAGGTTCATGTGCAGCTTCCGCATGTGGTGCACTACGGCTGCTGCGTTGAAGGCTTGCTGAGGGGACACGGGAGCAGCTGCTGGCCTTCTGCAGCCTCAGAGTGCCTCGGCCTCAAGCTTTCCCTTTGCTATGGCCTCTTGAAACCACTTCTGATTTCACAGAGGGTACAGGGAGCTCCAGGGAGCTGGAATACCCCAGGGAAAGCCCTTATGCCAGCCTGTGCCACAGCCCAGCCTCCAGGGGCCCAGAACAGCCTTCCTACCCCCTGGAGAGGACTGCTTACCCTCCACTTGCTCTTAGCAAAGTTTTTCTGGATCTGGAGGCTGACTGATGGATAGATGTCCCGGTGGAGGGCTGTGTTTCCGTCAATGCTGTGCCACAGCCCAGCCTCCAGGGGCCCAGAACAGCCTTCCTACCCCCTGGAGAGGACTGCTTACCCTCCACTTGCTCTTAGCAAAGTTCTTCTGGATCTGGAGGCTGACTGATGGATAGATGTCCCGGTGGAGGGCTGTGTTTCCGTCAATCCTGTGGATGTAGGAGGGGACACCTGGCTACTGGGTGACTAAGGACACTCAGCCAGGAGGTGAGCAGGGGCTGTGCATGTAGGTCCAGGTTAGAGCTGAGTAGAGTGCCCCAGGAGACTGGTGGCCCACAGTAGGAAAGGCTACAACCAGGGCTCTTCTGTCTCCCTGCACAGGTCATAGTGGGCTTATGCTCTGGCAAAAGCAAACCTTGCTGCAGAGCAGTATTGGCAAACTATGGCCTGTGGGCCCAATCTACCCATTTCCTGTGTCTGTAAATAAGGTTTTAATGGAACACAGCTGTACCCATTTATTCAGGCATTGACTGAGGCTGCTTTTGCATGACACCAGCAGAGTTGAGTAGTTGCCACTTAGATGGTATGTCTAGCAAAGCCGAAAATATTTACTATCTGGCCCTTTACAGAAAAAGTTAGTTGACCCTTGCATCAAAGGGTACTTGGGTCATCACCACCCTTTAGCTTAAAATCTTGTTCAGATCCCACCTCCTTCTGGAAGCCCTCCTGAACAAGGCCATCTGATGTAGGCTGCCCCATTCCGGTCCCCTTCGCCTGTTCATCACTCGTCTCTAGGAGTTCCTCAGGCACTTGCTGTGTGCACAGTACTGTGACAGCTACTAAGGGACCCAGAGAAGTAGGAGACATGGGTCCTGATCCCTAGGAGCTTACAGCTTACTGTGCAAGTGTGGGGCGCTGTTTCACACTGTGGACTAGAATAATTCATGGTAAATTGTGCAAACAAGAAAGAGCAGTAAGGAAGTCTGAATGGTCTGCAGGAGTCGGGGGCTTCAGGGCAGTGCAGAGACGGATCTGGATCTTGAAGGATGTTATGTGTAGGACAAGTGGCAGAACTTTCTAGGTGGTGAAAGTGGTATGACCCAAAGTGTAGTTAGGAAAGCTTGGTATATGGTGGGGGTAGGAGAGAGGGCAGGAGAGAAGTATAGCTCTTAGGCCTGTATGCAACAGAGAAGGTATGTGGGAATCCTGGGAGAGGAGGCTGGGGATTCCAGAGGTCAGGCCAGATTAGGGAAAACCTGGACATACGAAGGAATGTAGGCTTGCTGTGGTAGGAACTGGGGAGCTATTGTGAATTCTTGAGCAGTGGAATGACATGGGAAAAAATGTTTCAAGACTTTCTTTTCCTATTTTACCAACTGGTTGCTTTGTGATTATTCTTGAATCACTTCACATGGAAGAGGTTTTGGTCCCAGAGTTCAATGAAGCTCTTAAGAATGGGACAGAGTTGCCAATTCTTGGTGCCTCTCAAAGTGACTGCTTCTGAGTATTGCCCCATCCCGGCGTTGAATGACAGCACCCGCCTGCGTCTGCCTCCTGCACTCGACTGGATAACTCAGCTTCCACCCTTAGGTCAGAATCTGCTCAGTTAAGTGTCATTCACATCTCCACCTGGACCTGAGGCACAGTTGCAGGCTCCGTGCATGTTGCAACAGCAAAGAGCTCAGGACAAGCAGATTCCTGGGAATGCATGATTTGGGGCCCCACAACACTAGGGCTAGAGCCTACCCCATTTCTCACTTACCAGGGGTGATTCAAGGCCTTCTCGCAGGTGTATCGCTCATTCGGGTCCTTCTCCAGCAAGTGGCAAATAAAGTCCTTGGCTAAGGGGAGCAAAGACACAACTAAGGACCAGATTTCGTGACTGATGGAAATTCACTTCCAGGCTCGTGGGTGGCAGTGAATGCATCTTTAGCTAATCTCCCAAAGAGGCAATTTTAAGAGTCTTAAAAGAGAAAAGAATTCAAACCATTTAACAACCCACCACAAACCATCAAAGAAGAGAGGCTCTGAGCAGCGTCACCCACACAGCACTGCAGAAGCATCGCTAGTCACGAGGCACGCATGTGCCTGCATGTCACGTGCGTGTGCACTTGCACCAAAACATGGGCCAGCACAGGCACACGGCCACACATGTGAGAGCTGGCTCCAATTTCCACTTAATGGGCCAACAAACATGTGACGATGCTCCAGCTCCAATTTCCACTTAATGGGCCAACAAACATGTGACGATTGTCATCTCACACACACAGA